TACAAAAATTAGCCAGGCATGGTGTGGCGCATGCCTGTAGTCCCAGCTACTTGGGAGGCTAAGGCAGGAGAATCACTTGAATCCAGGAGGCGGAGGTTGCAATGAGCCGAGATCGCATCACTGCACGCCAGCATGGCGACAGAAGGAGATTCCATCTCAAAAAGAAATAGCCATGATTTTTCAGTCCATAAACAGGAACCGTGATATCCATAAACCTTTGTGACAGCTTTGAAGAGAAATCTCCAAACCCATAATGTGGTCAGACATTTGTGAATTTCATGCAAAGCATTACATTATAGGCTTTTAATGGATGGCAGCAGAGTGTGTAGTGGCTAAAAGCGAAGTTTGGTGTCCCATGGCTTCAGTTTGACTCCACATTTTCTCTACTTACCCAGACAGTGAAAGTAACTGATCTTCAAAGCAACTAAACCTTCATTTCCTTCTCTCTAACATGGGAATAATAATACTTTGCAGGTTTATGTAAATATTAAACAAAATATGCCTTATAAATTGCTTGGCTCCATGCCTACACACAGTAGGTGTTTAATAAATGTTAGCTGCTATCTCTAGGATATTCTATTTCCAAGAGAAAATTGGATTGTATATTGATGATATACAATCATTTCAGGAAATGAATTCTGAAAGCTCAAAGTCATTTGTTTGATTGACCAGGTCTAAGTGGGCCTTTTGTTTTTAAGTGTAATAAATGAATGATTTTAAACTGTTTCAGGTTTTAGATAAGGTTCTAAAGGGATGGCTCACACCCTGGCTGCACATTAAAATTGTCTGGAGGACTTTTCAAACCCTGATACCCATGTCTCAGCCTAGACTAATTAAGCTGGAGACTCTGGGGAAGGAAGCAATGCCTCAGAATATTTTTATGTATTTATGTATGTATGTATTTATTTATTTATTCATTCATTTTGAGGCAGAGTCTCGCTCTGTCACCCAGGCTGAAGTCCAGTGGTGTGATCTCGGCTCATTGCAACCTCAGGCCCCTAGGTTCAAGCAATCCTTTCCTTCAGCCTCCCAAGTAGCTGGGATTACAGGCGCCCACCACCACATCTGACTAATTTTTGTATTTTTTAGTAGAGATGGAGTTTCACCATGTTGGCCAGGCTAGTCTTGAACTTCTGACCTCAGGTGACCCGCCCGCCTTGGCATCCCAAAGTGCTGGGATTACAGGCATGAACCACCGCACACAGTCCATTTTTAAATCTCCTCAGGTGACTTCAATGATCAGCCAAATAAAGTCCTCATTTGCTCTAAAAATCTGAACCCACTTAGTAGCTGCATTAAAGATAGAAAAATAGCTCAAAAGTGGCACTGGTCAGTGCTAAAATGAAGTTTTCTGTGGGAGGCTGCTCCTATGCATGACAATGCTAAAATAGCACTAATTCTCATCTATGCCACTTTGTAAATGTCACAACAAGGCTCTACATTCTTAACAAAGCCCTGTAGAGATAGCCTGCCCTAAAGAATTAAAATTCACTTGACTCATTGGGATTAGCACTTGGTATTTTTCTCATAGCAAATATATTGGCAGTGCATGCAAAAAGATGGATAACTTCTACCAACCTCTGAAACTGAATTCCAGAATATCACTGACATACTATTAATTGTCTTATATCCTTGACATCTTTTAATTAAAAACTCAGGACTGGCCGGGTGCAGTGGCTCACGCCTGTAATCCCAACACTTTGGGAGGCCGAGGCGGGAGGATCACCTGTGGTCAGGAGTTCGAGACCAGCCTGGCCAACATGGTGAAACCCCATCTCTAAAACAACAACAACAACAACAAAAACTCAGGACTGCCTGGAGGGAGAGAAGAACGGGCAGTTATTGTTTAATGGGTACAGAGTTTCAATTTGGGATGATGAAAAAAATTCTGGAGATGGAGGTGATGGTTGCTGTTCTGTCTTCTTTTATGTTATAGCAGTCAAGTGCATCCATCCACAAGAGGAGACACAGGAGACATTCAGGAAAACATAGATATGGCGTACCACCCAGGGCCACATGAAAAGGCATCAGCTTCAGTCAGGAGACAGAGGGGCAGGAGGGAGGACCTGGGCCAGGCCTTTATTGGATTTTCCACGAGAAAGGCAGAGCAGGGTAAACAGTTTAGAATTGGTTAGTTTGAATAATTTCAACAGCTCTAAGCTATAGAGGTGGTCCCTAATTGCCTGCTACCTGGCACTGGAATGACTGAAGCAGAGGAATAAATATTTTCTCTGGGTGTATGGGCTAGATAGAAGAGTTCTGGCCCTGAATAGGTTAGTCTGTGTATCAAAGACATGCTCCTGGCCTAACTCTTCGCTATCTCTAAGAATTAGCCCCAGGAGGAGCAGTCTCTCCCCAGCCAAGAAGAATTTAAGATATTAAAACATAATATGCAGAAAGGTGAAAATATAAACAATATGATTGCACCACAATGTAACTGTATTTAATATATAGCTGAAAATGGCAAAATGGTAAATTTTATATTTATTTTACCACAATCTTTTTAAATCCCAGCATCCATAAGATCAAAAATATAGTAATCTAGGCAAAAGATAAGAACCAAAAGAAAAAAATGGGGAGGTAGAAGACAAAACTTACATCAAGAATTTTGAGGGTCACTAAAGTATGTCTCTTCTCCAAGTATAAAAGAAGGAACTGGCCAAGTATGGGGGCTCATGCCTGTAATCCCAGCACTACGGGAGGACGAGATGGGCAGATCACTTGAAGTCAGGAGTTTGAATCCAGCCTGTCCAACATGGTAAAACCCCGTCTCTACTAAAAATACAAAAATTAGCCGGGCATGGTGGCAGGCACCTATAATCCCAGCTACTCGGGAGGTTGAAGCAGGAGAATCACTTGAACCCGGGAAGCAGATGTTGCAGTGAGCCGAGATCACGCCACTGTACTCCATCCTGGGCGACAGAGAGACTCCGTCTTGGGGGAAAAAAAGTGCAAATTTTAAGCAATTCTCAAAATTACCCAGCATAGTAGATGAAAAGGAAAGGAAACAGTACAGAATTGCTTCATCCTCTAAAACCATTTTTCACTTCTCATTATTCTGTCACGCTCTAAAGACATTCAGGAACTCTGGTGTTGGTCATTCTCCCCTAAAAACCTGACTCATCTTAATGTGTGAAGCTGCAGCACTAGAGTCTATGCCTTTTCTGCACTTCTTAGTTGGCCAATTCAGTGTTAACATGTTCTCTGGCTAAACTAGATCATCAACTCAGCTGCGGGCCCTTTCTACAGAAGTGCTCAGTTACGCATCATGTGCACACGTATGAGTGCATATGTAATAATTAATGTGCTTTAATCTGTAGATCTACATGCATCATTATCCTGAATTTCTTACCTCCAAATCACTACTTTAATACACCAGCCTGCATAGTTTTCATCCAAAATAGTTTAACTGACAAAACTATTGCTCCATTGTGTCTCCTCACCTAGCTTTCCTCTTCTCTCTATAATCTGGGAAACCCACCATCAATTCTTCTTTTTCCTTACTCATTTGCCAAATCTTTTCTCCATTCCCTATGCCAAGATTCTCGGGCATAAACACCTATGGCTGCCAAACCTTCCTGCTCTTGTCCTAACATAAGCAAACCGAAGTTGACTACCCTTTGCCCTCTCTGCAATTTGCTTTGTATATCTAGTTGTCAGATGCCTGCAGAGTAAGTACTAGGAGAAAGGAAACAAGCTGCTCCTTCTTCTGTAGAAGGAGAGTGAAGAAAAGAGGGGATAGCTCTCTAAAACCATTGGTAAGAAAGACCCTGGAGTCTTATAAAGCAATGGTTTTAAATAGCTAGGTGTGATCCATCCTTGTTTTCCTCTTTTCCGTGAGATCTGTGGAAACGTGATCTTTATCACGATGCACTATTCCGTTCCTTCCAACCAAGCAGATATCTGTCGCTCCCTAAATATCTAAGAAATCGTTTGAGAGCTGGTAGAGTTTGGTTCACAGATAAAGATGTGTCAGCTTTCCAGTGTTCAGGACATTGTTCTGAGGCCTTTGCTCTAATACAGGCCTGCATGTAGCACACAGTGAACACTGCACTGCCATCAGGAGAGTTAGAATTTGCATCCTAATTTAGCCAACAACCAGCCCTGGGTACTGGCGCAAATTACCTAATTTTCTATACCCCAGTGTCTGCATTTATAAGATGGAGCTAATAACAATGAATATTGTGGAACACTTACGATGTGAGCGCTGATCTAAGTAGCTGACACATATCCCTTCCTATCCTCCTTTCAGCAACTCTATGAAGTGGGTATGCTATTATTGTCACCCATTTTAAAGATGTGGAAACTGAGGCACAAAGGCTCATTATTAGTATCTTGCCTTTGGTCCCAAAACTATATGCAGAGCTAGGATTCAAACCTAGTCCAATGGCCAGAACTCATACTCCCACTGAGGGTGCTCCATTGCAGACCCTGTCTCACTGAATTGTGATCATTAGATTTAGTACTTGGAAGTAAATCTAACATTTTATTAATTTTCCTGAAGTTCACTTCCCTGTCTGTTAAAAAGAGACAATCTATAATTTTCAGAGTTTCTATAAGGAGTAGAGATAAAGTGGGCTTAGTATCCAGAACAATTCATGACACATATATTAGGTTATTGATACATTGGAGCTACTAATATTATTGTTATTTATATTATTAAAATATTCTACTCCAGGTGACAAGAAAAGTTTATTTATTTCTCTCCATTCCCAATGACACCAGGACATTGTGCATGGTGTTAATGTTAATTGCATTCCACAGAAAACATGCTTTTCATTGAGTTCAAGGGGGAAAAAATACGTTCATTGTGTTACAGTTTACATAAGGAAGAAAGGTAAGATTCCTGCTCCCAACATTTCATTCCCCACCACTACCACAGACAAAACATGGTTTTGCTTTTAAATCTCAAGACATAATATAGGACTAAGGCTGTCCGCTGCCACGATGTGAAACAATGAATTTTTCATTTAACATTTTTCCCCTTTGCTTCTTTATAGATTTTTGCATATATGAACGAAACCTCTTCGCGAAAGGAAAAGTGGGACCTCCAAGCTCTTAGATTTTTATCAATCAATTCAATAATTGACCCTTGGGTCTTTGTCATCCTTAGGCCTCCTGTTCTGAGACTAATGCGTTCAGTCCTTTGTTGTCGGATTTCATTAAGAACACAAGATGGAACACAAACTTCCTGTTCTACACAGTCAAATGCCAGTAAACAGGCTGACCTCTGAGGTCAGTAGTTTAAAAGTTCTTAGTTATATAGCATCTGGAAGATCATTTTGAAATGGTTCCTTGGAGAAATGAAAACAGTGTGTAAACAAAATGAAGCTACCCTAATAAAAAGGAATATACAAACATTTAGGCTGCGGTCAAGGCTACAGATGTGCTGATAAGGCACTTCATGTAAAGTGTCAGAAGGAGCTATAAAACCTATCCTCAATAAGCATGGCACTTGGCCTTTGAAGGAACAATCAGCTGCATTTAAGATCTCGTTGCCTTTTGATTTAAGCTTTCCTTTGAATGACAAAGCATGTGGTTTTGTAATTTGTTTAAAACCCCAAATAGTGACTGTATTTTCTATTTTAATCTTGCTACTACCGTTATAAACATTCCGTGTACAGCCAGACCACATTAAACATCATAAGTATTCTCTAGAAGTTGATATGTGGAAGCAACCAACCTGCTGTCTTGTGATCACTTAATGAACCATTTATTTGAACAATGAAGTTGAAAATCATAGGCACCTTTTACTGTGATGTTTGTGTATGTGGGAGTACTCTCTCATCACTACAGTGTTACTCTTACAACAGTGAAGTCAGTTGGTTAACATCAGTTTTGTTTACTCATCCTCCAGGAGCTACACATCAACACGTCAGGTTATTTATTTTATAATGTCCGTATGCTAACAGTGATCAAGAAGACTTGTTCTCTCAACAAGCAACAATAGAAATGTTTCAAGAGAGTTAATTCTCATTAATATTCTTTATCCTATTTCCAGGGGAGGATGTACGTGGCCATGTATAAAGCCAACTATTAGGATTAAAAACTGAAAAATCTGGTTCATTCTTCAGATATACTGGAACTCTTTTAATGTTGATATTGGGGCCATGAGTAAAACAGACTTTATAAGATGACTGTGTTGTACCAAAATTCATCTGTCTATATTTTATTTAGGAAACACGGTTTGACTCATATTATATGGGAAATCATGTAGCAGTGAGTCATATCTTAATATATTTCTAAATGTTTGGCATGTAAATGTAAAGTCAGCATCAAAATATTTCAGTGAATTTGCACTGTTTAATCATACTTACTGTGTAGACTCATCTGAAATGTTACAAAATAAACTATAAAACAAAAATTTGAAAACAATACTATTTTATGAACTTCCTCAAATAACATTTTGCGATTAATATAAACATAATATCTTTTAAATGAGATCAAAGTGGAAAAATTATATTTAATTTGGCAGATTTGTAAAGTGTGATTGCCAGGTTTTTAGAGTGTGGTTGCAAATTAGAGATTAAAATATTCATTATAATATTTGGTATTGGAAGATATTTTTTTTCCTTCAGTTTTTACCCTTTCAGTATGGTCTTTAAAATAGTAGAACCATCTTATTTTTTGCATAGTGTTATGATAGGATAAACATTTACTTAAAAAAAGAAGAGATGGATGCTCGTTTTCTCCAAAGTCTCATTGTTTATCCAAAACTATTTCCTTTAAGTAGTTATCAAACTAGATGATCACTTAGAATGATTTCAAACCAATCTAGGCAACAGTGTATTTTGATACAAACAATCTACGTCAAGTCAGCTCTTATTTTTAAGAAGAATAAATAAGTGGTTGGCTTTTCTACAAATTTAAACAAGCCAGGCAAAATTTAACTCAACTAAAATCTGGACATGTAAATAAATCTTCCCTGTCCACCAGGCATTCTAAAGTTAAGAAATTATTCTAAATGGAACTAATTAGGCCCATGGGTAATTCCTAAACATAAAATTCTGAAGTTGCTTTGAATCTAAAAGATTGATTCCTTTTATCAGATGACTTTTTTTTCTCCAGATGACAATGTCAACAACAATTTTTCAGCCCACCTTACCACCCCCCTAAAATCCCAGAATAATGCCTGAGAACTGAAAACAAGAATGCAAAATTGGACATAATATCACTAGCAGCAACAAAATTATTCACTCTGGGAGCCCAAAGTATAAGAATTTAAGCCACTTATTTGAGCACTGGTATATCTAGAACTTTGTTTCCTCATGTATTCCTGTTCCATGCACTGTGCTGAATGACTAAATCCTGGTATTTCATTTACACCAATATATATGTAGAAGAACTTGAAAGTAAAAATCCTCTGTAATAGTCATTACCTCCTATTAATAGCAATTTAAAGGTAACTTAGAAAAAAATTACTAAAATTAGATATGTAAATAATCCCTTTCTAAAAATTCTATCACATCAGACATACCTGTTTAAGTTATTGCTTCATTTTCAAGTTAAATAAAAGAACAGAATTTACTTAGCCTGATATATTAGAAAACTGAATTGTGATAAAAGAAGACTTAGACTTTACTCTTTGCCCTTAATAGTCAGAATGAAAAGGGAGAAAGAAACTATGGTGGGTATTCCCCGCAGCATGCCAGCCCTAAGTTTAGGTATTTGGATGTGGGATGGACCAAGCTGTCTGCTCTGAGCTGAGTTATTCCTAAATGGTTCAGTGTGGCCCTGGTCATCTTTTCCAAGAAAGAAATGGAAAATTCTGGTGCTAAATTGTGGCCTTGAATCTCCAAAAATCTGATCAGGATCTGAGTTTGTTTAGAAGGTACAAGATGACTCTGGAAGACCTGCATCACAAAGTGGGTTAGAGCCATGACAACCCAGAGTGAGACCGAAACTCTAGAAACCACTCCAACCTCAAACCATGATGCTTGCAGAGGCCCCAAACCCTGAGGAGGGAGGGCAAAACTGATTCACATCGCTACTTGCTCGGTGTAATTCAGTTAAACCTTGGCGTCTCTGTCTCCTCAGCATCAGTGCACTTTGAGAGAGGGATTGTTCTAGCGCTAATGGCGGATCAGCTCTGATCTGAACCAAGAAATAACAACACATTCCAGTTTAGAATTTGACGCCTTTGAAAGGCAGAGAATAACTCTCACTTAGGCAGAGTTTTGTTTATTTCACTTAGTTTAAGCCAAATCTAATGGTTTTTGGAACTTGGGAAGAGCCGCTACTTAAGCCATTTACAGAGAGAGATGCATTCCTCTCTATAAATGAGTATTTCATACGTGTCAACTTGCAATCCTACTCTTACTTGCTCTGTTACATCTGAATAATTTGATGTCTCTCTTCTGCGTTCATCAAACACTCACTACATTGGCTTTCCTTTCATCACCTAACAGCATTATAATTGATTTTTAAATTGACAAGGCATTTTGATGACCTAAAATATATACTTTGGAAAGAAGTATTATTTTAGCAATTCACAAAAGCTACATTTTAATTTATACATGAGCCAAGGTCATGTATTAGGCATTACTTATTTCTGAAAATTACTTTTTTTTCCCCTGGCACCTTTTGTGTTACTATGCAAAAAAAAAAAAAATTAAGTACATTTTCTTGAATGAGATATTTTTATTTCTTATGAAATGTATGTACTATTTAAGGTCAATTTTAGTGGTTTAATTCTGTGATCCATCTATTTCATGGTACATGATAATTCCTAATAAGTAAGGTTAGGGACTAGTATCATCTTAGATGCCCTTTCAGTGGCCCCTGTGATCTCTTTACACACACCTGGCTCTGATTTCTGATTCTCAGTGGTGCTGGTGGGTACTGGGGATGATGCTATATATTTCTTAACTCCGAGTAACTGTCAAGAAAAATGACAATACACAAACAGGACATATTTGCATTTCATAGAATGCAATGAAGATTAGTACACATGGGAGAATGTAGAGGAATGTGTAAGTATCAAAGAGAGTGGAACAAGAGAGACAGAAAAACAACAGGGCATATGACACCTCACCATTTTGGTGCCCTCCTCCAGATCTTATCCAAGTTATCAATGCCCATCTAAAAACAGTGGGCCAGAACCAAACACCAGTAATTCTAAACCAGTCTTACCAGTACTGAATGCTGATATGTCACTTCCTTGCTTAATCTGGATATTACATTTCTATTAATGTAACCTGGGATTACAAAGCTATCTAGAAACCAGGTCGTATCTTTAAAACCTCCAACAGATGGAAGAAGCAACAGCATTCCAGTTTACATAGAGGAAAACTGGGTATGCAGTGGGCAAGCGAGTTGGTCGCTAGGGACATCCTCACAAGATAACCTTATGATTGTGGTGCTTACCTTGCCAACCTGAGATCACACAGTCATTTAGTTTCTCTCTTGCCTCTTATCTCTTGCTTTTGGATTGGCCATGTATACTAGGGATGGGGAGCTTTGGGTTTGTCAGTTGAACCTGGTCTTTTGGGTTAATAATTTTGCCCCTGAGATTGTGTGGAACTGGATGCCAGTGCCCTACCCCAGAGAACAGGAGTTCTCTTGAAGTGGAGCTCACTGCTTTTAGTTATCAAACAATATTTTTACTAGAGTTAATTGGCAGTACTCATCTCAGTCCGTAAGACTGTGCCTGATATATCATGATAAACAAAATGTTTAAAAATTCAACAGCTGCACAAGTAAACCTTATAGTGGAGACTTTTTCAGCTCTTAGAGAGCTTCTCAGTGTGTTCACATTGTGAAGTGCTCGGAGGAACAAGCCAAAAAGCCCCTAGATGTTTGAAAACCCAATGTTAACTTTTTACGTTTTAAAAAATAAATGTCCTCGTGTTCCCCGTAGGATGAAAGGTATTATAACCAAAACACTGTGGGCTGCATGCTGTGGTGTACTATTCTCTGACCCGTAAAAATAAATTTTTCTGGTGTGAGTAGGCATTCCGATAAAAGAAGAGCAAGCCTAATTGTAAACTAGGGACTTTATTCTCTTGACTACCTATTATGGTGATGGGGGAGCTGGACACCCACTCTGAGAGGAAACACTTTCAGATGTTCACATCTTTCCATAACATGCCAGTCTGGAACACTAAGGAAGGTGAAGAGTCAGATTCCTGTCTTTGTTCTATAAATTTCTTCTGCGTTTCCAATGAAGTTACAGTGAACTACAATGGTTACAAAGAAATGCTAAATGGGGAAACAGAATTATCCTGTTACCAGTATTAAAGGCTTTTTTGAATAATAAGGACTTTCCTTTGTTTATCTATTTGAGCACATTAAAATGCTACTAACTGGAATCCTTCATAGCAGGAATTTTGGATTAAGGGACAAATCACATGGGGGAAAAAAACCTGATAACTTTATTTTTAAACTAACACACAGAAAGGTTAAGTGAGAATCATGACACTGGGATTGGTATGCAGACATCTGATGGGGAGATTTTCCATCTAGGTGAACTTTCCATTACCCAGGCCTCCTCTCACTCCGTCTGCTCATTGACTCCAACCACACTGGCCACCATGCTGTGCCAGTAGTACACTCAGCAAGCTCCCATCGCAGGGTCATTGCTCTGGTTGTTATCTCTACCTGCAACAAATGCTCTTCCCCCAGGCAGCTCTGGCTCACTTCCTCACCTTCTTCAACATTTTGCCCCAGAGATGCCTCCTCAGTAAGGCCATTACTAAGCCCTCTTCCTAAAACCACATACCCCTGCCCTCCTCATGCCCTTTGCCCTCCTCTATCATTTCCCCATATAAATGACCTTAAACATACCTCAAGATTGACTTATATATAATACTCATGGTCTGTCTCCACCGAGTAGAACGTGAGTCCCAAGGACAGAGATTGCTGCCTGTTTTGATGTCTAATGTGATGGTATCTCACCCTTGCCAAGTATCCTATACACATGGAATTGTATCTTATACATTTCAAGGTCTTTTTTATTTTTTATTTACTCAGTGTGTTAACAGCAGTGAGGCCATATGGGTCTGCAGCAACTCCATTTTTGCCTCCTAGGCAAAAATTCAGCTGAGGGGCATAAGGCAGAGGGAGAAACTGAGGCAGTTTTAGAGCAGGAGTGAAAGTTATTGAAAAGTTATAAAGCAGGAACTAAAGGAAGTCAAGAACACTTGGAAGAGGACCAAGCAGGTGACTTGAGAGATCCAAGCATGCTGTTCAGCCCTTTACTTGGGGTTTTATACATTGGCATAGTTTCAGGGTTTCTGTTTTTCCTCCCTTGATTTTTCTCTTGGGGTGGGCTGTCCGCTTGCACAGCTTGCAGTGGCCTGCCAGCACGTGGGAGGGGCCACATGCAAGGTGGTCACTAAAGTTGTACGCATGCTCATTTGAGGCATTTTTCCTTTACCAGTCATGTGTTCTAAAAGGAGGGCCATATACCTGTTAAACTCCGCCATTTTGCCTCTTAGTGCACATGCTTGAGCCTGCTCACCCAGCTCCTGAGATCTTACTGGGAAGGTGCTGATCACCACTTTCAGGTGTTCTCTATCTATTGAGACGCAGCCTTCCCCTGGCACCAGATGCCACCAATTATTGTTTTCGAGATAGTTTAACAACCAGCTGACTATTACTTGATGGCTGCCTGACATTCCTGGGATGGGGGCTCTCCTGTTCACTCATGTCTGCCTAGCTACCTACTCTACCAAGTATCTTCTTCTAAAGATATTTTGAAAATGATCCCATATCATGTTTTGAATGTTGTAAATCTCATTTAGTCTTCAAAACAACACTGTAAGGTAGGCACTGTCCCCATTCTACAGATGACAGAACATATTGAAAATTAAGCAAATAGCTCAAGATCACACAGCTTTTAAGGGAAAGTTTAAAAATTAAACTATTTTCTGATTTCAAGCCCAGGGATCATTCAACAACCCTACGTAATGGAGATCTAGAATGGCCCTCTATTCCATCGCTCTTCTCCTGGAAGGAAAGCCCCACTGACATGGCCCTGGCCTATCACCCCACCATATTTGCAGTACGTAGGATCATGTCTGGTATGCAGTAGGTGTTCATAAATATTTGTTGATTAAACAAGTAGCTAATGTCAAGGATAAAATCTCTGTCAATCTCTGAAAGACTTAAAAGAGCTCATCTTCCTCCTGTTCTTTTTCTTCTCCTCCTCTCTGAACAACTCAATGTGAAGTCCTTTGGGTGGGGCAGACTAAGGCAGGCTTCTGCAGCTGGGAGCTGTGAGAGCCCACGCAGGGTCCTGGAGTGGAGTGATGAAGTTCAGACGGGGTGAGGATGGGGGTGCTGCTGTGCAGAGTGTGGAGCCCTAGAGGACTGGGGAGAGTGTTTACACAGAAAGGCAGCCTACAGTGGACATCAGAGTCCAAAGTGGATAAGGAGGTTATTCACACAGGGGCGTGACATGGTGTGGGGCACTGGGACTCAAACAGGGAGGGAATGGGTGCCCTGGTATTGGGTTGTGGGGCCTGAACAGATTGAGGCAGAGGAGGGTGTCCGTTCAGAGGAGCAGCCTTTCATGTACAGTCAGAGCCCAGGGGGCTGGTGGCTGTCCAAACCAGGTGAACTGCTGTAGGGAGGAAGAGCCTGACTGAGAGGATGGGGCATCCTTGCAAGGAGATGGCCCAGTGACAGGGTTTAGGAACCTGAACAGGGTGAGACGGGCATGCACTTGTGGAATACCCTGGCATTAGTGGTCAGGACCCAAGCAGGATGAGCATGGCCTACACGTGGGGTGAGTTGGGGGCACTGGGGACGGACAGCTTGAGCAGGAAGAGGGAGGTGTAGGGAGGGGACGATGTTGGGGATGGAAGATGGGTTACATATAGAGGGATTTATCAAATAAACAAATATATTAAAAATAACAAAAAACAGTTTAGTCACTGTTAGAGAAAAATGAAATGGGAGAAAGCTGGAATGAATTATGTGATGTTAGATTGGAATTGGGATATTGTGTTAGCTCATATTTTTCAATATATAGAGATAAATATGGAAACAAATTCATATGTAAATGTGTGTCAGTGTGTGTGAGAGAGAGAGAGTGTGTGTGTGTGTGTGTGTGTGTGTGTGTGTGTGTGTGTGTGTATCCTCTAGCTCTGTCCACTGAGAGTACCTGGAATTAGCAACCACTTCTCCATCCAATAGCAATGAGCACACCTAGCTCACAGGTCTTGATTTCTAAATACCATTTTCCTCTGAAAAAAACCAGGGCTCCTCTAACAAATGGCTGATTTCAGGACGGGGGCAGGGAAAGTATAAAGAAAGCCTGGAACATCTTAATTTGCGAGAAAATAAGGAAGTGCTGGAGGAATGAGAGAGACACCTCACAAGAACACAGAAGCCAGTTTGAGAGGGGATTCCCACTGACCAAACTGGGGACAATTTGAGCATCAACACATATAATGATAATAGATTATGACCCCTTGAGAAAAATAGGAAACAAATGATTCCACACAGATAACAACAAATATAAAAATGAAAGTTTAATGAGAAACAGGTGATTTATAAAGTTTCAAAGTACCTGCCCATAAAATAACCATTAATTACAAAGGGAAAGGATAACTTTACAGTAAGAAATCCTGACAGACCCTAATGTA